GGAGTTGTGCAACTGTTGTCAAGATACAGCGTGGCGAAATCCTGCGAGCCAGTTAAACAACTGTTTTCTAGTTGCTCCTGCCTGTGCCTAGAATCTATGTAAATGTGTGCTTGTATCTGTCGAAATTAATCCAATTCATTCGCGTTTTTCAAGCTCGCATTCTACTAATTCGTATTGACGAGAGTAGAAAGATTACCTTGGTGCTGCCGAAATTCTCTTCGACCAGTTTGCTCGTCCTGCAAGCTGAGCAAGGCATAACTACTCACCTGCTGTTTTCTACGCCCTTGGCTAGGAGGTGACAAGCTGTCACACTCGAAGGGCTGCAAGTGATGTTAAGTGTTGCCAATTTAAGTTTGTAGTTCAAGCTTTAATCGCTTCCGCATAACGTTATAGATGTCAACAGATCAGGCCTTCTACCTCAACAACACTTGGTTATAACCTCTCCGATCCACATAATTTGGGAGATTTCAGAGTTCCAGCTCCGCCTTGTACCTACACACAAGCGTTTATACTGACCTTACCAGCTGACGCATCATTCTCTCTGTACAAATACAGTGAATACCATATGTATTCCCACTTCCTTTAAATTATACCATTCCCCCCCCCCCCCCCCCACCATGTTTTAACCTATCGGATCTATGTAATTTGACAGATATAGACATTCCAGTCGTACATGGTACCTGCACTACAGGCACGCATACCGACCAAACTGATCAGCGCATTACCTATGCTTGTAGACATGCAGTTAGTACCATATTCTTGCCACTTCACTAGATTAGGCCTTCTAATTCAACAACACTAGGTTATAACCTTTCCGATCCACATAATTTGGGAGATTTCAGAGTTCCAGTTCCGCCTTGTACCTACACACAAGCGTGCATACTGGCCTTACCAGCCGACGCATTTTCTCTCCGTACAAATACAGTGAATACCACATGTATTCCTATTTCCTTTAAATTATACCATTCCCCACTCCCGTACCATGTTTTAACCTATCGGATCTATGTAATTTGACAGATATAGACATTCCAGTCGTACAAGGTACCTGCACTAAAGGCGCGCATAGCGACCAAATTGACCAGCGCATTACTTATGTTTGTAGAGATGCAGTAAGTACCATATTCTTGCCAGTCCACTAGATTAGGCCTTCTACTTCAACAACACTTGGTTATAACCTTACTGATCCACATATTTTGGGAGATTTCAAAGTTCTATTTCCGCGTTGTACCTACACACAAGCATGCATTTTCTCTCCGTAAAAATACAGCGAATACCATATGTATTCCCATATACTTTAAATCATACAATTCCCCACCCCCCTACCATGTTTTAACCTATCATATCTATGTAATTTGGTAGATAAAGATATTTCGGTCGTACATGGTACTTGCACTACAGGCGCGCATACCGACCAAACTAACTAGCTCATTACGTATGTTTGTAGAGATGAAGTTAGGGCCATATTCATGCCAGTCCACTAGATTTGGTCTTCTACTTCAACAACACTAGGTTATAACCTTTCCGATCCACATAGTTTGGGGACTTCATAGTTCCGGCTCTGCCTTGTACCTACACACAAGCGTGCATACGGACTTTACCGGCCGACGCATTATTCTCTCTGTACAAATACAGCAATTACCATATGTATTCCCATTTCCTTTAAATGATACCCTTTCCTACCCCCCTACCATGTTTTAACCTATCAGATCTATGTAATTTGGCAGATAGAGACATTTCAGTCGTACAAGGTACCTGCACTAAAGGCGCGCATAGCGACCAAATTGACCAGCGCATTACTTATGTTTGTAGAGATGCAGTAAGTACCATATTCTTGCCAGTCCACTAGATTAGGCCTTCTACTTCAACAACACTTGGTTATAACCTTACTGATCCACATATTTTGGGAGATTTCAAAGTTCTATTTCCGCGTTGTACCTTCACACAAGCATGCATTTTCTCTCCGTAAAAATACAGCGAATACCATATGTATTCCCATATACTTTAAATCATACAATTCCCCACCCCCCTACCATGTTTTAACCTATCATATCTATGTAATTTGGTAGATAAAGATATTTCGGTCGTACATGGTACCTGCACTACAGGCGCGCATACCGACCAAACTGACTAGCTCATTACGTATGTTTGTAGAGATGAAGTTAGGGCCATATTCATGCCAGTCCACTAGATTTGGTCTTCTACTTCAACAACACTAGGTTATAACCTTTCCGATCCACATAGTTTGGGGACTTCATAGTTCCGGCTCTGCCTTGTACCTACACACAAGCGTGCATACGGACTTTACTGGCCGACGCATTATTCTCTCTGTACAAATACAGCAATTACCATATGTATTCCCATTTCCTTTAAATGATACCCTTTCCCACCCCCCTACCATGTTTTAACCTATCAGATCTATGTAATTTGGCAGATAGAGACATTTCAGTCGTACATGGTACCTGCACTACAGGCGCGCATACCGACCAAACTGACCAGCGCATTACGTATGTTTGTAGAGATGTAGTTAGTGCCATATTCTTGCCACTCCAGTAGATTAGGCCTTCTACTTCAACAACACTGGGTTATAACCTTTTCGATCCACATAATTTGGGAAATTTCAGGGTTTCAGCTCCGCCTTGTACCTACACGCAAGCGTGCAGACTGACCTTACCAGCCGACACATTATTCTCTCAGTACAAATACAGTAAATACCAAATTTCTTCCCATTTCCCTTAAATTATACCATTCCCCACCCTCGTACCATGTATTAACCTATCGGATCTATGTAATTTGACAGATATAGACATTCCAGTCGTACATGGTACCTGCACTACAGGCGCGCATACCGACCAAACTGACCAGCGCACTAGTTATGCTTCTAGAAATGCAGTTAGTACCATATTCTTGTCAGTTCACTAGATTAGGCCTTTTACTTCAAAAACACTTTGTTATAACCTTTCCGATCCACATAATTTGGGAGATTTCAAAGTTCCAGCTCCGCCTTGTACTTCCACACAAGCGTGCATACTGACCTTACCAGCCGGCGTATTATTCTCTTTGTACAAATATAGTGAATACAAGAAGTAATCCAATTTCCTTTAAATAATACCATTCCCCACCCCCCTACCATGTTTTAACCTATCGTATCTATGTAATTTGGCAGATATAGACATCCCAGTCGTACATGGTACCTGCACTACAGGCGCGAATACCAACCAAACTGACCAGCGCATTACTTATGTTTCTAGAAATGTAGTTAGTACCATATTCATGTCAGTTCACTAGAATAGGCTTTCCACTTCAACAACACTTGGTTATAACCATTCCGATCCACATATTTTGGGAGATTTCAGAGTTCCAACTCCACCTTGTACCTACACATTAGCGTGCATACTGACCTTACCAGCCGACGTATTATTCTCTCTGTACAAATATGGTGAATACCATATGTATTCCCATTTCCTTTAAATAATACCATCTCCCACCCCCCTACCATGTTTTAACCTATCGGATCATGTAATTTGGCAGATAAAGACATTGCTGTCGAACATGGTACCTGCACTACATGCGCGCATACCGACCAAATTGGCCAGCGCACTAGTTATGTTTCTAGAAATGTAGTTAGTAACATATTTTTGCCAGTTCACTAGATTAGGCCTTCTAGTTCAACATCACTTGGTTATAACCTTTCCGATCCACATAATTTGAGAGATTTCAGAGTTCCAGCTCCGCCTTGTACTTCTACACAAGCGTGCATACTGACCTTACCAGCCGACGTATTTTTCCCTCTGTACAAATATAGTGAATACCATATGTATTCCTATTTCCTTTAAAATATACCATTTCCAACCCCCCTACCATGTTTTAACCTATTGGATCGATGTAATTTGACAGATATAGACATTCCAGTCGTACATGGTACCTGCACTACAGGCGCGCATACCGACCAAACTGACCAGCGTATTTACGTATGTTTGTAGAGATGTAGTTAGTGCCATATTCTTGCCAGACCACTAGATTTGGCCTTCTACTTCAACAACACTAGGTTATATCCTTTCCGATCCATATATTTTGGGAGATTTCATAGTTCCAGCTCTGCCTTGTACCTACACACAAGCGTGCATACTGACCTTACCAGCCGACGCATTATTCTTTCTGTACAAATAAAGGAAATATCATATGTATTTCCATTTACTTTAAAGTATACAATTCCCCACCCCCCTACAATATTTTAACCTATCGGATCTATGTAATTTGGCAGATATAGACATTCCAGTCGTACATGGTACCTGCACTACAGGCACGCATACCGACCAAACTGACCAGCGCATTACTTGTGTTTGTAGATATGCAGTAACTACCATATTCTTTCCAATCCACTAGATTTAGCCTTCTAATTTAAAAACACTAGGATATTACCTTTCCGATCCACATAGTTTGGGAGATTTCAGAGTTCTAGTTCCGCCTTATACCTACACACAAGAGTGCATCCTGACCTTACCGGCCGACGCAATTTAATCTCCGTACAAATATAGTGAATACTGTATGTATTCCCATTTCTTTTAAATGATACCCTTTCCCACCCCCCTACCATGTTTTAACCTATCAAATCTATGTAATTTGGCAGATAATGACATTTCAGTCGTACATGGTACCTGCACTACAGGCACGCATACCGACCAAACTGACCAGCGCATTACGTATGTCTGTAGAGATGCAGTTAGTGCCATATTCTTGCCAGTCCACTAGATTAGGCCTTCAATCTCAACAACACTTGGTTATAACCTTTTCGATCAACATAATTTGGGAGATTTCAGAGTTCCAGCTCCGCCTTGTACCTACACACAAGCCTGCATACACCCCGGGCGGGGTGATGGAAAGCGGGAGAATGGGGCGAGGTGATGGAAAGCGGGAGAATCCGGCAGGGTGATGGAAAGCGGGAGAATGGGGCGAGGTGATGGAAAGCGGGAGAATGGGGCGGGTGATGGAAAGCGGGAGGATCAGGCGGGGTGATGGAAAGCGGGAGAATGGGGCGGGGTGCTGGAAAGCGGGAGAATGGGGCAGGGTGATGGAAAGCGGGAGAATGGGGCAGGGTGATGAAAAGCAGGAGAATGGAGCACGGTGATGGAAAGAGGGAGAATGGGGCGGGGTGATGGAAAGCGGGAGAATGGGGCGGGGTGATGGAAAGAGGGAGAATGGGGCAGGGTGATGGAAAGAGGGAGAATGGGGCGGGGTGATGGAAAGCAGGAGAATGGGGCGGGGTGATGGAAGAAGGGAGAATGGGGCGGGGTGATGTAAAGAGGGAGAATGGGGCGAGGTGATGGAAAGCGGGGGAATGGGGTGGGGTGATGGAAAGCGGGAGAATGGGGCGGGTGATGGAAAGCGGGAGAATGGGGCGGGGTGATGGAAAGAGGGAGAATGGGGCGGGGTGCTGGAAAGAGGGAGAATGGGGCGGGGTGATGGAAAGCGGGAGAATGGGGCGGGGTGATGGAAAGCGGGAGAATGGGGCGGGGTGATGGAAAGCGGGAGAATGGGGCGGGGTGATGGAAAGAGGGAGAATGGGGCGGGGTGATGGAAAGCGGGAGAAAGGGGCGGGGTGATGGAAAGAGGGAGAATGGGGCAGGGTGATGTAAAGAGGGAGAATGGGGCGGGGTGATGGAAAGAGGGAGAATGGGGCGGGGTGATGGAAAGCGGGAGAAGGGGCCGGGGTGATGGAAAGCGGGAGAACGGGGCGGGGTGATGGAAAGCGGGAGAACGGGGCGGGGTGATGGAAAGCGGGAGAATGGGGCGGGGTGATGGAAAGCGGGAGAATGGGGTGGGGTGATGGAAAGCAGGAGAATGGGGCGGGCTGATGGAAAGAGGGAGAATGGGGCGGGGTGATGGAAAGAGGGAGAATGGGGCGGGGTGATGGAAAGCGGGAGAATGGGCCGGGGTGATGGAAAGCGGGAGAATGGGGCGGGGTGATGGAAAGAGGGAGAATGGGGAGGGGTGATGGCAAGAGGGAGAATGGGGCGGGGTGATGGAAAGGGGGAGAATGGGGCGGGGTGATAGAAAGAGGGAAAATGGGGTGGGGTGATGGAAAGCGGGAGAATGGGGCTGGGTGATGGAAAGCGGGGGAATGGGGCGGGTGATGGAAAGCGGGAGAATGGGGAGGGGTGATGGAAAGAGGGAGAATGGGGCGGAGTGATGGAAAGAGGGAGAATGGGGTGGGCTGATGTAAAGAGGGAGAATGGGGCGGGGTGATGGAAAGAGGGAGAATGGGGCGGGGTGATGGAAAGAGGGAGAATGGGGCGGGGTGATGGATAGCGGGAGAATGGGCCGGGGTGATGGAAAGCGGGAGAATGGGGCGGGATGATGGAAAGCGGGAGAATGGGGCATGGTGATGGAAAGCGGGAGAATGGGGCGGGGTGCTGGAAAGCAGGAGAATGGGGCGGGATGATGGAAAGAGGGAGAATGGGGCGGGGTGATGGAAAAGGGAGAATGGGGCGGGGTGATGGAAAGCGGGAGAATGGGGCCGGGTGATGGAAAGCGGGAGAATCGGGCGGGGTGATGGAAAGCGGGAGAATCGGGCGGGGTACTGGAAAGCGGGAGAATGGGGCGGGGTGATGGAAAGCGGGAGAATGGGGCAGGGTGCTGGAAAGCGGGAGAATGGGGCGGGGTGTTGGTAATGGTATCATTTAAAGGAAGTGGGAATACATATGGTATTCACTGTATTTGTACAGAGAGAATATTACGTCGGCTGGTAAGGTCAGTATGCACGCTTATGTGTAGGTACAAGGCGGAGCGGGAACTCTGAAATCTCCCACATTATGTGGATCGGAAAGGTTATAACCAAGTGTTGTTGAAGTAGAAGGCCTAATCTAGTGGACTGGCAAGAATATGGCACTAACTGCATCTCTACAAACATACGTAATGCGCTGGTCAGTTTGGTCGGTATGTGCGTCTGTAGTGCAGGTACCATGTACGACTGGAATCTATATATCTGCCAAATTACATAGATCCGATAGGTTAAAACATTTTAGGGGGGTGGAGAATGGTATCAATTAAAGGAAATGGGAATAGATATGGTATTCACTGTATTTGTACGGAGAGAAAATGCGTTGGCGGCTAAGGTCAGTATGCACGCTCGTATGTAGGTAAAAGGAGGAGCTGGAACTATGAAATCTCTCAAACTTTGTGGATCGGAAAGCTGATAACCTAGTGTTGTTGAAGTAGAAGGCCTAATCTAGTGGACTGGCAAGAATATGGCACTAACTGCATCTCTACAAACATACGTAATGCGCTGGTCAGTTTGGTCGGTATGGGCGCCTGTAATGCAGGTACCATGTACGACTGGAATGTCATTATCTGCCAAATTATATAGATCCGATAGGATATACATTGAAGGGTGGTGGGGAATGGTAAATTTTCAAGGCAATTGGAATACATATGGTATTCACTGTATTTGTACAGAGAGAATAATGAGTTGGCTAGTAAGGTTCGTATGTACGCTTGTGTGTAGGTACAAGGAGGAGTTGGAACTCTGAAATCTTCTCAACTATGTGGATCGGAAAGGTTATAACCAAGTGTTGTTGAAGTAGAAGACCTAATTTAGTGGACTGGCAAGAATATGGCACTAACTGCATGTCTACAAACATAAGTAATGGACTGGCAAGAATATGGCACTAATTGTTAGTACCATATTCTTGCCAGTCCACTAGATTAGGCCTTCTACTTCAAGAACACTTGGTTTAACCTTTTTAATCCACATAATTTAGGAGATTTCAGAGTTTCAGCTCCGCCTTGTACCTACACGCAAGCGTGCATACTGACCTTACCAGCCGACACATTATTCTCTCTGTACAGCGCATTATTTATGAGATGCAATTAGTACTATATTCTTGCCTGTCCACTAGATTAGGCCTTCTACTTCAAGAACACTAGGTTATTACCTTTCCGATCCACATAGATTGGGAGATTTCAGAGTTCCAGTTCCGCCTTATACCTACACGCAAGAGTGCATCCTTACCTTACCGGTCGACGCATATTCATCACCGTACAAATAAAGTGAATTCCGTATGTATTCCCATTTCCTTTATATGATACCCTTTCCAACCCCTCTACCATGTTTTAACCTATCGGATCTATGTTATTTGGCAGATAAAGATATTTAACTCACACATGGTACCTGCACTACAGGCGCGCATACCGACCAAACTGACCAGTGCATAATGTATGTTTGTAGAGATGCAGTTAGTGTCATATTCTTGCCAGTCCACTAGATTAGGCCTTCTACTTCAAGAACTCTAGGTTATTACCTTTCTGATCCACATAGTCTAGGAGATTTCAGAGTTCCAGCTCCGCCTTGTACCTACAAACAAGCGTGCATACTAACCTTACCAGCCGACGCATTATTCTCTCCGTACAAATACAGTGAATACCATATGTATTCCCATTTCCTTTACATTATTCCATTCCCCACCCCCCTACCATGTTTTAACCTATCGGATCTGTGTAATTTGGCAGATATAGACATTCCAGTCGTACATGGTACCTGCACTACAGGCGCGCATACCGACCAAACTGACCAGCGCATTACTCATGTTTGTAGAGATGAAGTTACTACCATATTCTTGCCAGTCCACTAGATTAGGCCTTCTACTCAACAACACTAGGTTATTACCTTTCCGATCCACATAATTTGGGAGATTTCATAGTTCTAGTTCCGCCTTGTACGTACACGCAAGCGTGCATACTGACCTTACCAGCTGACGCAATATTCTCTCCGTACAGTATGTATTCTTATTTCTTTTAAATTATACCATTCCCCAACCCCCTACCATGTTTTAACCTAACAGATTTATTTAATTTGGCAGATAAAGACATTTCAGTCGTACATGGTACCTGCACTACAGGCGTGCATACCGACCAAACTGACTAGCGCATTACGTATGTTTGTAGAGATGCAGTTAGTACCATATTCTTTCCAGTCCACTAGATTAGGCCTTCTACTCAACAACACTAGGTTATAACATTTCTGATCCACATAGTTTGGGAGATTTCAGAGTTCCAGCTCCGCATTGTACCTACACACAAGCGTGCATACTGGCCTTACCAGCCGACGCATTTTTCTTTCTGTACAAATACAGCAAATACCATATGTATTCCCATATATTTTAAATTATACCATTCCCCACCCCCGTACCATATTTTCACCTATCAGATCTATGTAATTTGGCAGATATAGACATTCCAGTCGTACCTGGTACCTGCACTACAGGCGCGCATCGCAACCAAACTGACCAACGCATTACTCATGTTTGTAGAGATGCAGTTACTACCATATTCTTGCCAGTCCACTAGATTAGGCCTTCTACTTCAACAACAATATGTTATAACCTTTTCGATCTACATAATTTAGGAGATTTCAGAGTTCCAGTTCCGCCTTGTACTTACACGCAAGCGTGCATACTGACCTTACCAGCCGACGCATTATTCTCTCCGTACAAATACAGTGAATACCATATGTATTTCTATTTCCAAACCCCCTACCATATTTTAACCTAACGAATCTATGTAATTTGGCAGATAGTGGCATTTCAGTCGTACATGGTACCTGCACTACTGGCGCGCATAGTGACCAAACTGACCAGCGCATTACGTATATTCGAAGAGATGCAGTTAGTGCCATATTCTTGCCAGTCCACTAGATTAGGCCTTCTACTTCAACAACACTAGGTTATAACCTTTCCGATCCACATAGTTTGGGAGATTTCAGAGTTCCAGCTCCGCCTTGTACCTACACACAAGCTTGCATACTGGCCTTACTGGCCGACGCATTATTCTTTCTATACAACCAAATAGGATATGTATTCCCATTTACTTTAAATTATACCATTCCCCACCCCCTACCATGTTTTAACCTATTGGATCTATGTAATTTGGCAGATATAGACATTCCAGTCGTACATGGTACCTGCACTACAGGCGCGCATACCGACCAAACTAACCAGCGCATTACTTATGTTTCTGGAAATGCAGTTAGTACCATATTCATGTCAGTTCAACAACACTTTGGGAGATTTCAGAGTTCCAGCTCCGCCCTGTACCTACACAAAAGCGTGCAGACAGAACTTACCAGCCGACGTATTATTTTCTTTAAATTATACCATTCCCATCACCTTGCCCCATTCTCCCGCTTTCCATCACCCCGCCACATTCTCCCGCTTTCCATCACCCCGCCCGATTCTCCCGCTTTCCATCACCCCGCCCCGTTCTCCCGCTTTCCACCACCCGGGCCCATTCTCCCGCTTTCCATCACCCCGCCCCGTTCTCCCACTTTCCACCACCCCGGCCCATTCTCTCGCTTTCCATCACCCCGCCACGTTCTCCCTTTTTCCATCACCCTGCCCCGTTCTCACGCTTTCCATCACCCCGCCCCATTTTCCCGTTTTCCATCACCCCGCCCCATTCTCCCGCTTTCCATCACCCCGCCCCATTCTCCCTCTTTCCATCACCCCGCCCCATTCTCCCTCTTTCCATCACCCCGCCCCATTCTCCCTCTTTTCATCACCCCGCCCCATTCTCCCTCTTTCCAGCACTCCGCCCCATTCTCCCGCTTTCCAGCACCTCGCCCGAGTCTCCCGCTTTCCATCACCCCACCACATACTCCCGCTTTCCATCACCCCGCCCGATTCTCCCGCTTTCCATCACCCCGCCCCATTCTCCCGCTTTCCATCATCCCGGCCCATTCTCCCGCTTTCCATCACCCCGCCCCGTTCTTCCTCTTTCCATCACCCCGCCCCGTTCTCCCGCTTTCCATCACCCCGCCCCGTTCTCCCGCTTTCCATCACCCCGCCCTATTCTCCCGTTTTCCATCACCCGCCCCATTCTCCCGCTTTCCATCACCCAGGCCCATTCTCCTGCTTTCCATCACCCCGCCCCATTTTCCCTCTTTCCATCACCCTGCCCCATTCTCCCTCTTTCCTTCAACCCCCCCCCTTCTCCCTCATTCCATCACCCCGCCCCATTCTCCCTCTTTCCATCACCCCGCCCCATTCTCCCTTTTTCAATCACCCGCCCCATTCTCCCGCTTTCCATCACCCAGCCCCATTCTCCCGCTTTCCATCACCCCGCCCCATTCTCCCTCTCTTCATCACCCCACCCCATTCTCCCTCTTTCCATCACCCCACCCCGTTCTCCCTGTTTCCATCAACCCGCCCCATTCTCCCTCTTTCCATCACCCCGCCCCATTCTCCCGCTTCCAGCACCCCGCCCCATTCTACCTCTGTCCATCACCCCACCCCATTCTCCCTCTTTCCATCACCCCGCCCTATTCTCCCTCTTTCCATCACCCCGCCCCATTCTCGCTGTTTCTATCACCCCGCCATATTCTCCCTCTTTCCATCACCCCGCCCAATTCTCCCGCTTTCCATCACCCCGCCCCATTTTCCCTCTTTCCATCACCCTGCCCCATTCTCCGTCTTTCCATCAACCCGCCCCATTCTCCCTCTTTCCATCACCCCGCCCCATTCTCCCTCTTTCCATCACCCCGCCCCATTCTCCCTTTTTCCATCACCTGCACAATTCTCCCGCTTTCCATCACCCCGCCCCATTCTCTGCTTTCCATCACCCCGCCCCATTCTCCCTCTGTCCATCACCCCACCCCATTCTCCCTCTTTCAATCTCCCCTCCCCATTCTCCCTCATTCCATCACCCCGCCCCATTCTCCCTCTTTCCATCACCCCGCCCCATTCTCCCGCTTTCCAGCACCCCGCCCCATTCTCCCGCTTTCCATCACCCCGCCTGATTCTCCCGCTTTCCATCACCCCACCCCATTCACCCGCTTTCCATCACCCCGCCCCATTCTCCCGCTTTCCATCACCCTGCCCCATTCTCCCTCTTTCCATCACCCCGCCCCATTCTCCCGCTTTCCATCACCCGCCCCATTCTCCCGCTTTCCATCATCCCGCCCCATTCTCCCGCTTTCCATCACCCCGACCCATTCTCCCTCTATCCATCACCCCGTCCCATTCTCCCTCTTTCCATCACCCCGCCCCATTCTCCCTCTTTCCATCACCCCGCCCCATTCTCCCGCTTTCCATCACCTCGCCCCATTCCCCCTCTTTCCATCACCCCGCCCCATTCTCCCTCTTTCCATAACCCCGCCCCATTCTCCCGCTTTCCATCACCCCACCCCATTCTCCTGCTTTCCATCACCCCGCCCCATTCTCCCGCTTTCCATCACCCCGCCCCATTCTCCCGCTTTCCACACCCCGCCCCATTCTCCCGCCTTCCATCACCCCGCCCCATTCTCCCGCTTTCCATCACCCCGCCCCATTCTCCCTCTTTCCATCACCCCGCCCGATTCTCCCTCTTTCCATAACCCTGCCCCATTCTCCCGCTTTCCATCACCCCTCCCCATTCTCCCGCTTTCCATCACCCCGCCTGTGAAGAAATGAGGAATGAATGATGAACTAGGAAAATGAGTTGGGTACAAATATGAAACCCTAGAAAGCTGTACCCCATACTGTCTACCCCACTATAGCCTAGAAAGACTATAGCATATAAGTTCGACACACCCCCATAGGCAAAGTGGGGGAGAACAAGGGGTCACAAGACCAGTCAAGCAAAGCACAGCAAGCTCAGGGTGGATCCCAACGTCACCACACATTCTGAGCACAAGTTCAAGGGCCACAAGGCCAGTTCACATGCAAGCATATATATATAAAGCTAAACATGCAAGTGCAAGTATATATAGGTCACAGTACAAGCAAGGTCAAGAAGTGAGCAAGTGAGGCAAAGTAGGTACAAGACCTAACAAAGTACAGAAGCGCTGATGATCACAAGGCGCGAGTGCCTTGGTGAAGATATCAGCAGTGTTGGCCTGAGAGGCCACGAAAGCAAGTCGTAGCTGACCACGCTGCTGCAGCTCACGAGCAAGGAAGTAGCGAAGAGCAATGTGCTTCGTTCTGTGCTCCAGTCTGTGCTCCCGACACAAGGCCAGCATGGCCTTGTTGTCTACGTACAGAACTGGAGGAGAACGAGGCGGCTCTCCAAGGTCAGTCAGCAGGTAGGTGAGCCAGCGTAACTCCTGTGCAGCCATGGCCCCCGCGTAGATCTCAGCCTCACAACTGGAGCCGAGAACAGAAGACGAGCGGGTAGACCGCCACGAAACAGAGCCGGAACCAAGGCTGAAGGTGTAACCCTGTGACGACCGCTGTGTGGCCTGGTCGTCAGCCCAAGAAGCGTCTGCGTGACCAGTGAGGACCACTGGACTCCACCCTCCAAGCACAAGCCCCATGCCCGACGTACTGCACAAGTAGCGCAACACCCTCTTCGCTGCAGCCATGTGCTCTGGTCTGTGTCTCCCAGGAGCAACATAGCGTGCCAGAATGCTAAGAGGGTATGCAAGGTCAGGTCGAGTGCAGGTCATCAGGTACATGAGGCAGCCAACAAGCTCTGGGTACGGGCCACTCGACTCTACGGACTCATCCGAAGGCAGAGCTGAGAGCGAGTGGCGAGTAGACAGAGGAGTGGCCTGAGGCAAGGAGTACGTGAAGCCGAAGCGCTGAAGGACCTGCTGCACCATGTGTGACTGAGTCAGGGTAATGGTGCGCTGTGCTCTGTCCCGGGTGATCTGCAAGCCAAGGTAGCTGCGCAGTTCACCCAGGTCTGTGCACGTGTGTCTCTTCTGCAGCTCGGACTTCACGTGGGCGAGTCCAGCAGTGTCAGCTGTGGCAAAGACCAAGTCGTCGACGTAGACGAGGATGTAGAACGGCGGCAAAGAAGTGTCGGTGCGCAGAAACAGCGACGGGTCGGCAGTAGAAGGAGCAAACCCAAGAGCCGCAAGTGTAGTCCTCAGTGTGTCGTGCCACTCACGAGGTGCCTGGCGGAGACCGTAGACTGGCCGCCGGAGGCTCCACTGGGTACCAGGAGGAAAAGACCCAGCGAAGCCAGGTGGACGGCGCAGCCAGATCTCCTCGTGCAGGCTCCCCTGCAAGAAAGCAGTGCTGAAGTCAAGAGAGTGAAGCTCGTAGTCACGGTGAGCGGCTATGTGCAGTAGTACCCGAAGAGTGGTCATCTTCGGGGTGGGAGAGAAGGTCTGAAAGTAGTCAACTCCCTGCCGCTGACTGAAGCCACGAGCCACGTAGCGCGCCTTGAAGACAGGCGGAGAACCCGGCGGCCGCTTCACCCTGAAAATCCACATGCCACGGACGATGTTCGCCCCAGGAGGGGGAACCTCGTCGACGTAGGTGCCTGTGGACTTCCAGGAAGCCATCTCTGCATCCATGGCTGCCTGCCACTGAGAGGAGTAGGGACCCTCTATCGCCTCCGCGTAAGAGCGCGGAGTCGGGATGTCTAGTGCATCCGGGTCTCCCTCAGGGGCAAGCAGCATGGACACAAGATGAGGTGAAGCAGCAGAAAAGCACTGGAACTCCTCCTGCCTGTCCTCAAGGACGTCCGTGCCAAGGGCACACTCACCCCCGACGGACGGAGGACAGACAGACGCAGACTCAGCGACAAGACTAGCAGCGTAGTCTAGGCGACAGCGAGCAGCGAAGTCGACAAGCTCAGAAACTAAGGCAGACGCAGCAGCGGACTCAAAGGAAGGGTCGGTGACGACAGTAGCAAGGAGACGCGTGACAGTAGGACTGGTAGCACGAAGGGAGTCCGACTCCGGGTCAGCAAGAACAGGAAGAGAGGACTCAGGAGGAGAAGGCAAAGGGGCACGCAGCGGAGCAGTGGAGGGACGCAGAGACATCCGGTGCGTGCCTGGGACAGGGGGAGGACGCTGACGCGAACCACGACTACTAGTGCGCTCAGCACGGACAGGCGACGCAGGACGAGACGCAGGCTCACGACGCTCAGCAAGACCTCCAGTAGGACCAGTGTAGGGAGAAGGAGCAGGCAGAGGAGAGGTAGGGTGGAACTGTGACTCGGACTGGACAGGCGGTGGACACTCCAAGGGAGGAGCCGGACTAGCAGAGGGCGGGAGACCAAGAACCTGCTCAAGGAGCGGAACGAAGTACGGCCGCGGCCGCTCAGCACCACCAGCACCAGAAGGGACAGCACCAGCACCCCGAACGACAGCACCAGCGCCAGCAGCACCCCCAGCTCCAGCAGCGCCAGCTCCAGTACCCTCAGAGGCACCAGCACCAGAGGCACCCTCAGCGCCAACACCCCCAGCAGCTCTAGCTCCAGCCGGACCACCAGAAGACGCAGCGGGTCTAGCTCCAGCACCCTCAGTAGCACCGACGCCCGCAGCACCACCAGCTCCAGTACGAGAAGCACCCGCAGGCCCAGCAGCTCCAGTACTCCCAGTACGAGCACCTCCGGGACCCGCGGCACCAGCACCCTCAGCAGCAGCAGAACCTACAGCACCCGCAGCACCTCCAGCTCCAGCAGCTCGCCTCCAGCGCCGGGCAAACCACTCACGCAGCTCCTGTGGAGAGAGTAGCTCCCGCCGGGACGAAGTACCCGAAGAACCTCCAGGCCCAGCACCGCCAGACGCCACACGAGCAGGTCCAGTACCCTCAGACTCCGCACCCCCAGACGCAGCACCCCCAGGCTCAGCACCCCCAGGCGCAGTACCCCCAGGCGTAGCACCCCCAGGCTCAGCACCCCCAGGCGCAGCACCCCCAGAGTCAGCACCCCCAGGCTCAGCACCCCCAGAGTCAGCACCCCCAGACCCAGCACCCGCAGGCTCAGCACCCCTAGAAGCACCAGAGTCAACAGCTACCTCGACAGGGTCGACTGCGTCTACCTGAGACACACCTGAGGGGGCAGGACCCTGAGGGGGGGAGGGGGTCTACCGGAGGGGGACCTGGCGTAAGGAAGAGCGGCGGGGGGGGGGAGGGACGCAATGCGGTAGGGGAAGAGACGGTAGTAGGGAACCGACTCGTCAAACGTGACGTCCTGGGAGGACAGAACACGGCGCGAGGTGGGGTGGTAGAATTGCCAGCCCGGCGCGTCAGGGGGGAAGCCAAGGAAGACGCAGGGAACAGCACGAGGGGACAGTTTGTCCGCAGACAAGTCGCGGACAAACGCCCGAGATCCCCAGACACAGAACGCAGACGCATCGCCAACCTTCCCCGTCCACAGCAAAGCAGGGGAGGTCTCCGGCATGGAGACCCGGGGCTGAAGGTTGATCTGATGCGCCGCGTACCGAACCGCAAACGGCCACAGAAAATGGGGGGCAGCCGCATGGACCATGGACGTACGAGCGACGTCCATGACCATGCCAATGCGGCGCTCAGCAATCCCATTTTTCTGCGGAGAGTCCGGAAGCGTGAAGGTCTGGCGGATGCCTCGTGCACGACAGAAGGCTCGCAGAAGGTCAGAGGAGAACTCTCCGCCTCTGTCAGAGTGCAGACGCAGAACAGGAAAGTCCGAGCCGAAACTCTCTCTGAGCTGGAGACGAGCTGCGCGGATCCAGGAGATCAACACCTCAGTGACCTCACCCTTGCTGCGCAAGGGGAAGACCGCGGTGTAACGCGAGTAGTGTCAAACACCAGCAGGAAGTAACGCTCGTGACCCTGTCCACGGACGCGGGCTGGGCCCCACACGTCCATGTGAAGCGTCTGCAGTGGAGCCTCTGTCGGAGGAAACTCGGTGGAGTGAGGAGCAGCGCGCTGCCGTCCCTCGACGCAGGGAACGCAGGTGGGGGCAGGCCCCGGAGGAAGGGGAGGGAGGGACCGGGGGAGACCAGAGACAAGGACACGGGAGGCCATGCCTCGAAGACGAGGCAGGGAGGGGTGACCAAGGCGGTGGTGCCAGAGGAGATTCTGGTGAGACAGGAGACGACACGAGTAGGGGGCAGACTCAGGACCAGACCTGGACGCCGCAGCACACACCTGACCCGACGCGGCTACCTGAGCAGACTCAGCGACCGGAGGAGACTCAGTAGTCAGTGTGTACAGGCTCGACCCCGGCTGACGGGTAAACGTGGCCAAGTGACGGCCCGTCCGAGCACAGGTACAGTGGGTCACTCGCTGACTCGCAGGAGTGAACTGGTGAACCCCTCCATCCTGGAGGTCAGCACCACTCACCAAGTTCGTAGAGAACGAGGGGAGGTAAAGACCCGAAAGGGTGCCAGAAGGGGCCGCCGGACACGGTAGAACAGTGGAGAAGTGGGCAAGGACAGGGCCCCCAGAGGGGTCTGCCAGGGAGACTGCCACTGGCCGACTAAGCGGCGTAAGCGTGGTGCGGTCTCGAAAGAAGGAGCGGGAAGCACCCGAGTCAAGGGTGAAGGTGTGGGTGGCCGGAGCCGACGCGGTACCTGAGAGCGCAGACTCACCAGCACCTGGGGCAGTAGACTCACCAGCACCTGGAGCAGCAGACGCACTAGCACCTAGAGCAGCAGCCTCAATGCCCGGGTCAGGCGGAAAACACCGGTAACAGTCACCCTCATCACTAATAGTCACAGTATACATTGCAGCAAGAATAGCATCATAATCAA